CTTGTTCTTATATCCTGTTTCTCAAAGACCATGCTGATCTGAGCTGATAATACTCAACCTGGTATAGGCCTCCTGAATTTGAGTTAGCTTACATCCTGACTACTTGAAGGTCAAAGGAGCTCAATTATGAATGTAGTTGCTATCATATACCTTTAAGCAGTTAGCCTCTAAACACCCCCTGCCAGTAGCTGTTTGCAAGAGATCTATGTTAATGACAGGAATACATAAAACTGTCTGGAAAAAATAATTGGCTTGCATTAAAAACCTAAATATTCTTACACTTAGAAACAGCCACTCACAATCTGCAGAAATGCTGAATACAAAGCCATGGCTGAATTAATTCTACTTTGGAGAACACTGCCGGGAAATCTGACTATGCCTGACTCATACAGGTATGTGTTGTATGTCTGAAGATCTTCTGCTAGTAGACAGCTTTTCCTTTTACTTGTTCTTTTAGATTAAGGACAGTTTGGGTCCTGTTTGTATAGTATTACTTTAGTTGCAAAGTGGTGGTTTAATTATTGTGAAATAGTGATTCAGGAAAGAATTCACAGTTCAGGGGTTTGTGAAGAAAACAAAACACAGAAGAACAAAAAATAAGCCAAAAGAAATTGATTCTAAAAACTAAGGCAATTTATTTAAGGCAATGGAATTTCCTGCCAGCTTAAGTTCTTACTGTGGACTCAAGTCAATATTTGCTCATTATATGACATATGTTGTAAGACGTGGTTTCAGTGATCTAATATGTTTATATCCCATCTGTGTCTAGTTCAATGGAACAAGAACATTCAGAAATTATTGCTATTTAGAGACCAGTAGCTGACGGTTGATGATGGTATTTTAGTAAATTTTTTCTTTATAATATTGTGCTGGTGTTGGTTTTGTTGTTGTTCCTTGGTAGTATACAGAGAGAGTGGTGAAATGCTGGAAGGCTGCCCAGAGAGGCTGTGGCTGCCCCATCCCTGGAAGTGTTCAAGGCCAGATTGGATGGGGCCCTGGGCAGCCTGGTCTAGTATTAAATGTGGAGGTTGGTGGCTTTACCTGTGGCAGGGGGGTTGGAGATTCATGATCCTTGAGGTCCCTTCCAACCCTGGCCATTCTGTGATTCTGTGAGTATACTGCTCTTTTACATAAGGGATGTGTTAGAAATTAACTGTTCTGGAAAGATTATATAGTTGCCCCCCAGTGCATGTATGAATGCATTTATAAATGGTAATCAATTCAGGCATAGTTATTTCTATAAAGGTTGCACTATTAGTAAACCAATTCTTTATCACTGAAACTTCATCCATGTTACTTTTGCATCTAGCTATTCTTGTTAATGCTGCGGTATGCAATGTGAGGATCATAAGATACTTCATAATGGAAATGACTTCAGGTAACCTCTGGCTCAACCTCTGGTGAAAATGAAGGCCAACTATAAATCAGACCAGGTTGCTTAAGGTTTAGTCTAGTAGGGTCTTGAAAGTTTCCAAGTATGTAGAGTGCAACAGACTGGGCAACATATTCTACTCCCTGCTGTCTTATCAGTTTTTAAGAATTTTTCTTAGTTGGGAAGAGAGACATTACTGTGCTACTGCAAATGCAGAATTCATTAGTGCCACCTATTTGTGAGACTGTAAAACTACAGATAATCCCTGTAAAACTGTATTGAGTTAATAAGAAAATATATTATTTTTCTTTCTGCTTAAGCACAAGAAGAAAAAACAAGACACATAGGACAGGTTTAAAAGGGTTTTCTTCAGTTTTGTATCTAAATAATTGCAGTGGATATATATGTTGTTCAAAATAATAATATAATAATATAATTTAGATATTTTATACATATAAAAATGCAAGATGAAACAACTTCTAACATTTAAATAATATATATTTACATTATATATATAATGTAATGTAATGTATGTATATATATTTGCACAGTTTTCTTTTAGAGCTCCAGATACATTGCTTCACCTGCAGGAGGTGTGCAATTTTGGAGGAGCTGTGTTGTCAAGTGAAAGGCAAAGGCAGAAAAAGACACTGAAATTATAAAAATGTATCAATGTAGACGAAATTAAACTATCTAGATAGAGTTATATATTAAAGAAAGAATCAGTAAAAAAGTTTGTTTTTAGAAGTCTTTTTCTTCTCATATTCAGTAATTAACAAATATTTTATTAGACGAGGAATGATTAGACAAATTGTAATGCAAGAAAGAAAACACATAAGAAAAAAAATCCTTAGAATTTTATTAGTGCTATTATCTCACCCTACTATTAAAAAATTGGGCAGTGCTCATAATAGTTATGCTTTCTCTTTTGCTCATTCATTTCAAACTGTCCAGAAAGGTTTACAGTTAATTATAATCATTTCAGTAACAAATAAGAGAATATTCTTTAGATCTCTGTGGAGAGACAAAGCTTTGAATGACAGAAGGAAGGCTTAGCATTAATACACAATGATTAATGTCAACATATGGCTTTAAACTTCAGAGGGACATCTGTAGCCTGAGGAACAGGAGCTATAAGTTTGCTTGTTATGTAACTGTAGGCATGCAGATTTTCTAAATATGTTAGCCTGACTGTAAACAGACACAGATTTTCAGAAAACATGTAAACAAAGGACAGATTTTCAAAACATTGTTAATTATTAGCTAATTCCTTTGTTGCCATTGACTTTCTTATAAGAATGACAAATTTGAAAACACGTGTGAATATGTGTTATAAAAGTCATTCCTGCGGCTGATAATATATGTGCATTGGCACAGACAGTGAATAAATAAATATGTAAAAAAGGATTACGTTATGAAAAAAAAACCCACAAAACTGTAATTTCAAGTATTTTTTTCATTCAGTCAAATGATTCCTGTAATATACAACTTGAACGCAACAATACAGATTTTAACTCCATATACAATATTAGAATATTGTTTACAGTTTGCATGTTGTTTCCAAGCCAATGAAAATATGATGTACAGTGAAACTGAAATAGATAATTTATAGAAAGACTTTGAGAACTTTGAAATATGTTTCTGGCAGAAGTTAACTTTGCCATGATCACAATATTAAAATACTATTAAAAATATATACAAAACAACAACAACAACAATATATACAAAACAACAACAAAGATTTGCAGATCAAATGTAGACAAAGTAACATAATAAAAATAAAACATTTGAGATATAAAAATTAATTTTTTCTTTTTTTTTTTTCCAGCTTAGTGTCCACTACAGACTTTTATATGCAGTTTTCTGTAGGGGAATTAGATTTTTCTTATATTCTTATATATATGTAGAATCTGAAACTCTCATAGATATGTTTTTATTCACTCATTCTGCTGTCCTTGCAAATATATTGATTCAGTGGCTTACTAATTCAAATATGTCATATTCCTCATTGTGGTCATTCATTGTTTTTTTAGATCCATGATAAAGTGAACATATTTTATCTGAGGATTGAAATCCTGAATGAACACCTGGGTACTTTTTGTTCTTGTTGGTAGGTAGGTAAGTTGGTAGTTTTTTGTTGTTCCTGCAATGAACTATTGATATGTGTTATCTTTGGAATACCCTTGTATGGAAGCACATTCAAATGACTGAGGGAAGAAAGCAAATGGAAAATGGTGGCAAATATGCAAAAGCACAAGCAAAATAATGTTAAAAATCTTGTAATAATCAAAAATATATTCTTCATACTTTGTCAATTCAGCACGCACTGAGAAAGTGAATATTGATGGTCCCATAATGCTTTGTTGAAGTGAAATGTTGCAGGCGGTTCTGTATGCTAGCAACAATACAAAGGTACTCTACTGAAAATAGAAATCTAAACCGCAGCCATGTATCCCAAACCTTACAGTAATGTAGCTGAAAGGCCAAAGAGGAAAATATATATATATTATTATTCAGTTTCCCTTACCTGAACTTGATTTTCAATGACCTAATCAAAATGTTGGTTGTTTTTTTTTCCTCAAGACCCTTGATTCATTCACTGCATACTGATGATGTGTTTAGGAACAGAAGTTCATTATTGTATTTCTTTTCATTGTAATTCATATGGCTTCATATTTCGTTATTAAATACCAATCAAGGCATCTTCTGAAGATAAAGTGCCTACTTGTGATTTTGAAATGTTTTTCCAGTTCTCAAGGTGGTTTACCACCTCAAAATCTCATCAGAAATCATGTGAAAAGGCTGTCTGCTATCTTTAAATGACCTTTAAATATCAGATAATTATTCATGACTTTTGGTGCTGATTGAGATGTTTAATTTACATGCCTTATGTAAGTGCATGTATAGGAGGTATACTTCAGTAAAAATGTTCCATGTTTTGTTACTGTGTTTTCTTGTCTTCAGTTGATTGGCCCTAAGAAAGAAATATATGCTGTTGAAAGGGTGGATTTTTTTTCTCCTCAAAATCTAGTATTATTTTTTTCTTGAATACAAGGTAATCCAAGAAGGATGTAAGGTAAACCATGAAATGCAGAAAAGTGTTCTTCTTAAAACAGCACTTTAAGGAATACACTGATATCCCTGAAAGAATACTGTTAACATATCAAAATACAGATTGTAGCATTATTTTTAATGATTAAGCACATAGTTACTTGCAGCAGTAAAGGAATAATAACAATGGGATGACCTACACTAATTATATCAGTTAAGAATCTGACACCTGGCTTGGAATAAGAATTTATCTCTTCCAGCACAGAAGAAGGATTGTATAAATTTTTGAACTCTCACATGAGTGTCCTCCTAGTTTTTAAAAACTCTTTCACAACTACAGTGCATGTCCTCTAAAATTTCCGAAGATCATTAATCAGCTCATTATTTTTTCATGAGTATTAGTGGCACTAATGTGTAGAAAGCTTCAAAGGAAATCAAGAAGTAGGTGAATGCATTGAGTAAGTTTTTCTACTGTCTGTTATCCAGTGAGATACCTCAGTCCATGCTGATCTATATTTGAATTGCCTCTAAATATTAGAATTTACAGTGGAGCAGTGATAAATCATAAGCAGCATACCTGTATTTGAATTAGCCCAGACCCATCACTCCAGGTTGAAGTAATGGCTGGAGATGCTGTATCTTCCAATCAGTTGTATGTCTAAGGCCTCGAACATTTCTAGAAAGGAAATTTTTGTGAAGAACAAAGTGATATATAACCATAATGTTCCAATGAGTTTGAAGCAATTAGATTCACATGTAAAATAGTCGATTTTTATCTGTGAATCTTCAGATCCACTAGCATCATCTCTAAGTATACTTATTTTTTGATTTACATCTGAACAATTACACAGAGCTGTAATCTAAGAGCCTCCCACTTCCCTTTACAGACCTTTTTGAATCTAGCAGGAGTTTAATTAACATTTATCTATTTCTGAGAATCTTCTCAGGTTCGGAGTGGAATGCAGTTGGCCTTCGTAGTTTCTTTCTAAGTTGATTAAGTAGCTGTTAGAGTTCATATCTGCCCTAGAATCCTCTGAGAATAAAGATGGCATATAGGTGCCGGTAGTTCTTTTTTTGTCAAATTAATTGACACAGTGTATGTCTTGTATTTAAAATTCAAAAGTTCTTTGTAACTCAACCCTGGAGATCGAAGCATAGCACGGGCCAAAAGCAATAGAATAAAGTCAGTTAAACATATTATTTTAAAATTCAGAAGTACTATAATTATATTGCTGACATAAAGGCAAATTTACAAAAAGACAATTGTATTTTTATACCTTGCACTAAATCTATTACCAAGCAATTCAAGGTTTGTTGAACCAAATTAAGTTCACACCTCCTTTGCAAGCATGAAGCTCCTCCATAACCAGATCCAAAATTCGTCCTAGATCTGACGTGCTTCGCAGCAGCCAGAGATCTTCTGCAAAGAAAATCTGTCTTGTATCACTTGTTTTTGTAGCTGTATGTTTTACTTAATGTATAATCATGATTTCAAATTGAATACTAACAGTACACAAGGGTATAGAAGAATGATACCACTATGTGTGAGGACTATGTGATGCATCTTTTTCATGAATGTACCACTACATCCCTGGACTTCAAGCAAGTTTGTGGGAAAGTGATAGCAGTATACAGTTATTCTGTAAGCAGATTTCTCTGATTCATTTCAGCTTAGTATCTTCTGACAAACCTTTATTCAATAAATAGTTGGTCACTTCAGAAGTTGTGCAGGCAGCATAAGACAAAAATTGACCTATCAGTTTCTTACCTGTTAGACATTCACAAATAAATCACTGATTCATACAAACTTCAAAGAAAGCAGCTGTCTAATCTCTGGTTAAATTTATTGTTAATCTTGCAGAAAAAAAAATCTTTGCAATGGCACACACTACAGCAGAAACTTCAAAGAAATGCTGATTGCCCAAAACTGCAAAAGAGGTTTTTCTTTCCTACGTCTTGAAAAACAGCTTTAGAAATATAAGTCAAGGATTGTTTGCTGTAGATGCAGTCAGGATTTTAGTATCTAAACACACTGTGCATTCAGCAGTGACAACAGTGCATAAGTAAAAAACTAGAGCTCAAGTGTGGGAGAGGATCATTTTTTCTCCTTGGGGATCAGATGAAGAGTAGAAACTGAAGTGATAATTTCAACATTAAAATAATCAGAGATGTTGGAAGTAGCAGTAGTATTTTGTCTTGTTCAGCCAAAGAGCTTTAAGGTCATTCTGATTATCTAAACAATAAACTGAAGATTGGAATTCTTTTTCCTATTTTTTTTTTCCAATGCTGCTTGCAAAAAATTTCAAATGGGATCTTTTGCATCAACCATGAACACATATAGACTGTAATCTAGATGACTGGGTCACAGAGCAATGGAAGAAACTGAAATATCTGAAGGAAGTGTACAGTAGTCAGATATTAAGTTTCTATATTTGAATTGCTGCCTGATCAAAACTTTGGAGTATGTAGCAGCAGAAAGCAAGCACATCCAAATTATTAAAAGGTGAGATTTTATTCAGCTAGATGTTTGCTCAAATGAGATTTGCCAGGTCACTCTTTTCACCACAGTGAGATTAGTCATAAGCTCTTTTCTTTTCTGCACATGGGAAAATGTAGAAAATTGTTAGAAAAAGTACGGTAAGGAATATATCCATAATAAGTGTGGGAAAATAAGGTATTCAGTTTAGATAAACTAAAGATGCCAGACTGCATCTATTCAAATCCTGAATTCCACCATTTCCTGAATCCTTCTCACAAACTGAAATCAGAAACTTTGTAACAGGTCTGATTGTTAAACTCTTTCCAAGTGTAGTACAAAAATATATCAAAATTCTCATCCATTCCTTTTCTAAAGGAGTAAAGGAATTAAGTCCAATCGTAGATTTTGAATTACTTTTCCTTTGAGACCACATTTGATCTTTTTTTCTTTTCTTCTCCTAAAGACAAAATTTTTGTCTATTTAGTATAATTATATATCTTTGTTAATCACATCACAAAATTAAATGTAAATGCATTTGTCAAAAATATTCATAAACAGTTTAGCTGCAAAATACTTTTTAAAATGAGCTATCACAAGGAGATTTAGCATTCAATAGCATTTATATTTTATGACATAAATGAAAGAGGATGACATTAAAACTTCAAAGCAGCAAAGATGACACATTTCCAATCGTGCTGTCACTGTGAGATCTACAAAGAGCATACTAGTACACAAATAACTGCTTTTTGATTTACTGAAGTTCAAGTATGGATTTATCTAATTTTTTAGGTACTTTAAATCCACCAAATTGCCATGACAAGTATATGTGATACTGTGGTAAAATTTTTCCCTTAACACAAGATATGACAGGTCAAAATTATTTGTAAAACTGTGGTCTATCTTGCCACTAGAGCATGCCGTGAATTGGTTGAAGCCCTACTTGATTTCACCAAAATTTTAAAACAAGATTAATTTCAGATAAAAACTTCTAGGTATGTTTTCTAATGCCAGCAAAGGCTGCGATTAATGTGATTTTTGTCTATGATGAGAAAAAGTTGTCAGTTCAAGTTTCCTTAATACAATGGTGTTAAATAATTTAATTGACCTCCATAGTTGCTTTGTATTTTCCACTACTGATAAAGAAGTCTTTTTATGTATAAAATATGGAGAAGAGAGGAGACTCTGCTCACGTCCAGCAAGGCCTGGTTGTGAAGTTCCCATCTCAAGAGATAGCCAAAACCTACTTGGACACTTTCCTGTGTGACTTGCTGTAGGGAAGCTGCTTTAGTAGGGGTTTGGACTAGGTGATCTTCAGAGGTTCCTTCTAACCCCTACACTTCTGTGATTCACTTTCCTATTGTAATCTGTTTTTTGTTGTGTTGAACTTCAGCTCAATTACTCCTTGCACATAAACTGATCTCAGTACAACATTTTACTGCCTCTGTGGTCCACAAATAGTCACAACTGCAGAGACGATCATTCTGAGTTCTGCATTTTTAACTAAGTATTAAGAACACAATGCAAGGATTATAATGTAACATAGTGAGAATATTCACAGTAGGACTGGGACAGGATCCTACTTTATTCTAAAATAATTTCATTTAAAATTATATGTACTTTCTCTTGTGACTTTATTTTTCTATGCATTTCCTCATAAGTAAGATGTACACATATAAATTGTGGTATGAGGTTACTCCATTCATAAAAGGAATTCCAGTTAGCAGGCTTAAATGGCATACTGTTCTGTAACAGAAATTCTATATCAGTGCATACGAGCAGAATTAGGAAGGTGTTTGTAATCCAATATTCAATGTTGTATTAACTTCTATTTGTGTCAGACGACTTGTGGTTAATAGAATAGACTCCAGAAGAGAGAAACAACAGAGATCAGAGGCCTGAAGAACATAAACAATAGGAAGATGGACAGCTTAGAATATTTTTGGTTAGATACAAAAGCCACACAAAGTAATAGAGATGGAAAAAAAAGATAAGTCTTCTAGAAGTATTTCAAAGAACATTATGTTCTCAACAGGATGAAAAGGAATGGATTTAAACTATTATAATGAAGAATAATTCATATGTGAGGGGAAACATTTTTACTGATAAGAATAGTAGATTGTCAGGAGATTATGGGAACCTCAGAAGATGTGCATCTTAATGAAAAGCCTAATCAAATGTCTGTTAAGAATGAAATTTATATAGAATATCCTGCTTAGGCTTAAAGATAGACTAGGTGATAGGTCTTTTCCCAACCTGTTATTTGGTTATTCACTGTATTTTAAGTATTAGAACTTTATATGGGTGTACTATATTCAAATACATAACATTATAATCTACTAAACATATTCTAATTTATTTTCAGGTTGAATAAACTGTTCTCTGAAAAAGCTTTTGTCAATATAGACAGTTCAAGCGGTCATTTAAATACATATATTTATGATATAAAGGTACAATTGTATGTACATTACTAATGTTAAAAAGAGAATGCAGAGGTGCAAAGAAAAATGACTTGCTCACAGTGTGTGGCTGTGCTCAGCGTAAAAGTAGCAGAAATATTGCTTACTCTGAGAGCTTTTCCACTGTAACACTTACATGCGTCTTAGTTTGCAGCTAAGAAACTACTTAGAGGAATCTGTTTTCAAATTTCAGCTATATGAGTTGACATAATTCTGAGAATGGTTATGCAGTTTTAAGGAAAATTCAGAACAAAGGTCTGCTTTGAAAGAGACTTCAAACTACAGGAGTTTGAATGAAAAAGTACTTAAATTTTTAAAAAATTCAGAAATAATTACCAAAAGATGGTCATTTCTTTTATTAATTTCAAATACAGAAGAAAAGTAGGCACTCTGGCAAAGCCATGAGGAAATCATTAACGGACATATAAGTATATGAAGGTCAATTAAATTATATGTAAGTATTTCTAATGGATAACACTCATCACTTGGCAGCTAAATAGTTTCCGAAGCAGAAATCTGATGAAGCAGTTATCTTTTCTTATACTATTATTTACAATGTGGAATAATTATGTAGAATCAATTCATGAACTGTTGTCAGATTATTTTTTTCCATCATTGTTTCTTTCTATTTTTCCTTCCATAATTTTCAGTAAACTCATGACTCATTTTATCTGATCTGACTAGAATTCCTGATGCTAATCTCTTCAGAAAGGCAAGATATTGTCCTGAAAAGAATACAAAGAAAAAAATATGCAACACTGATTTTAAGACAGTCATGGACACAGACAGAATACATTGCAGAACCTGTCTGAGAATACATCAGACCTGTTTACAAATGAAAATAAGTGTTGAACACATAGAATTTTTTTTGTTCTCATAGAGGGAAAAATTCAGTGCTTTTCAACAACCTGTTCTGACAAATTCTTCAGATAGTGTTTGTGTGTACTTTATAAAATCGGCTTCCTACTTTTGAACAAAAGTGCTCTCAAACACCATGGTACAAGGTAATGGCTGAAACAGAATTATACATACAGACAACCAGATAATTACCAGCATGCATATGCAAACAACAAAGTAAAAGCTTTTACTGACAAAAGTTTTTCACTTGTGAGAGTAGCCATACTTACTGCATCTAGCACGAATTGTTTCCTCAGCCAGTGACCGAAATGAATGCCTGGAACCAAGTTTAAGAAGAAAGCAGGAACACTTCTACCAAGTATCACCTTACCCTCAAATCATTCACTGCTTAAGATCTTCCTCTGCTAGAAATGGTCTGTCAGTATTTAATAATCCATAGTACATTTCTGTTCTACATTTTTCAATCTTCCTGTGAAACACTTAATGTTCAGAAGTGATAACGCCCAGAAAAAATAATTTTATGGCTCATCTCTGCATTATATTAGAAACTACTAATGCATTTTATGCCACTGGAAACTTGCACTAAATCACTAGAATGGTCAGTGTTTACTGTGAATTGAAAACCAAGTCTTGCTTTAGTTCTGCTGTTACTCAAACTATTTTCCCATTATAAATCTTAGAACTGGAGTATTTCAATAAAATTATAGGCTGTACTCTGAAATTATGACACTGTAAACAGTTTATAATGCAAATAGGCAAATCCTTCAAACGAAATATCTGTCACATACAAAATAGTTAATTGAAGCAGTGTATATTTTCATTTTTATCTTGAAACTGTTACTTTGTGGTGTAGTTTTTCTATTCTATAATGGTCATTAAAGGTGTGGAAACACCTAAGAGTGTGAAAATACTTACACGGAAGTGGTCTGCCTCACAAGATTTATAGATAAGTAGTTTTTCAACATCATGGAAATTCATATGTCAATGGCTTTATTTTTGGTCTTCATTAATTACAGTCAAGTTTTGAAAGGAAAATTCCTTTAACTGTGAAGCATCTAGAAAGAGGCAGCTTCAGCATCTTCTCATAAATACAATATATAGCATAGCATGAGTAACTGACCTGCTTACTCTCCAGAATACTTGTTTTTTGAGACTCCTAAAATATTAGATGAAAGTCATTTTAAAGCCTTTGAGGTCATTTAGCATAGACCCCTACAGAAAAAGAAAAGGATTTCCCATCATAATCCTTTCTCTGATATTCTCTCACACAGAGCACTTTAAAAATACCTTTGATGGAAGTGAATTTCACATATTAACTACTTCCTTTATTTGCCTGAAGGTCTGCATCTTAATTTTTAATTCAAGTCACTGTCTTAATCCCCAAAGATATTATGGTGCAAGATGAAACACTCAAAGCCTTACTCTTCAAAGTTGTTTCCTAAAATCTAACCTAAATATTCCTGTACAGTATCTTCGATTTCCAGATTTTATTTTTTTTTTATGGAACATCCATATGTAGTAAAACTTCTGCTCAATTTGAATTGCTCAGAGAATTAATAGTCTGTGTTGATGGTAGAAGAGACAGTACTATAAGTGAAGGTATAGCAATCCCTATAACTTGCACATTTTACCTATAAAGTATTTCTAAGCAGCCACAGCTTTCTTTACAGCTTACCTTAAAACTGTGTCATAATATATAAAATTGTACTAAACACTTTTCAGAGTCACAGACTTCAGTCTCTGTTGTTTTGCTTGTTTGTTTAAGTTTATAAAAATAGAGTTTTAGTTTATAAAAAGTTAGTTTATTTTATAAAAACATAGAGTCCTCTGACCAGACTTAAAATAGTGGAAGTGCAGGAACAGCAACTAGTTACAGCTTACTAAGATTCTCAATTAAATACACTGTAGAGAGATAGTAACTTTTTGTTGGAGCAACACACTGAAAATTCTTACCTGATAAACAAAATTGTCTGTTATCATTTTCTGCTCTTCCTGAACAGTCAGTTCTCTGATTCAACAAAGCTACAAAATTACAAATTAGGTAATCGTTATTCCTGATATCCACCCTGTACTTTTTATACAGAAGATTTATCCAAATTCAGTCTTGTGCTCTTCTTGAAATTGGCTGTTCTTGACCCTGAAAGGCACAGAAAACACTTGCAATGTAATCTATATATTTACATACTTGTTTTCCACTTTCCAAATTATTCAAGATATTTGAGTCAAATTTGTTTCTAAAATTGTTACATGCCAATTCAAAAACAAAAATAAATAAGTAAAAAATACTGACAAGAAAGACATAGTTAACCCTACACTACATCACTCCAAAGCAGGACAGTTCCTTCCCTCACTCAGCTGGCAGTGTTGTACCTGATGCACTTGAGAGCACAATTTAACCTTTTGGCTCCTAGAGCATACTACTCTCTCAGATTGAGCTTGTTATCAATCAGAATCCTTAAATCCTCCTCTGCATAGCTACTTTTCAGCCTCTCATCCCTTAGTCTGTATATATATTTAGGGTTACTCTAACCCAAGCGCGGAAGCAAGCACTAATTTCTACTCTTAAGAAATTTAACAGGTTCTTCCAATTTGGTGTCATTTGCAAACTTGCTTGTACATTCAAGTATTATAACCTAGTAATTGATGAAAACATTAAAGTGTAATGGCCATAAATTACAGCCACTAGTGACTAGCTATCAGCCTCACCTTATGCTGTAAGCTTTTTGAGCCAGACCTAGACAGAAGAGTTCTGTCAGAAACAACATTGGAAGATTTGCTTCAAAAAGATTCCATCAACTGGCTTCCCTCGGTCAGGTAGGTGGGTAACACTGTCATAAAAGGAATTTGTTAAACAGGACTTTGCCCTCATGAATTCGTGTGGGCTGTGATCAGTAACTGTATTTTCTTTCAGGTGTTTCTCACTAACTCCCAGAATCATTTTCTCCATCATTTTTCAAAGCTGTGAAGTAAGACTGACAGGTCTGTAATCATCCTAGGGTCTTCTTTCTTGCTCCTCTTGAAAAAATCATAGAATGGCTTACAGTGGAGAGGATGTTTGTCAGCTTCCAGTCAGCTGGGTCCTCTCCAGATTCCCATGATAATTGAAAAGTAATTGAGAGGTTCTGCAAGAATATCAGCCAGCTTTTTGAGTACTCTACTAAAAATGTGAAGTGAAACAAAAGACTTACTCTGAACAAAGCATCTATTTTTCCATAGTTCTTAAACAGAAGGTAATACAATTATTTTAATCATAAAAGTTACTAGAAAATGTCACTAACTTACTGATGCTTTTCTGTTTATTGTCTTCTTAAGGAGAGTACAAAGAAGTTGTTAGGATATGCAGAGAGAAGAAAGGCAGAAGCCCAACTTGAACTCAACTTGCTACAAGACTAAAAGAGAATACAAAAAGAGAAACCTTTTTTACTAATGTATTAACAGTAAGAGAAGGGCTATTCTGCTACTGAAGAAGCAAAATTGCTTCTGGCAGGTTCTTGGTGTTAGTAGCCAAAGTATTCACAGTTAGGCCAATAGCCATATAAAGAAAAGAGAATGGAACTCACCAAACTGTGAAGAGGGCTCTCTGGCTCTATAGTACTACTTCATAGGAAGAAGCGTAGGTCCAAAAGAAGCCCTCCTTTCAGAGGCTGGCCCTTACACGAGCCCAGGATGACTTCACCCTAGGACCAACCTTTCTGGTCATGGGGGGAGAACAGGTGCAAACAGGTATGTTCCTTGGACAGCCATACCCATTCACTAGGTGCTCAATTACCAGGCCAAGTTATGACCTAACAGTTCCCCTGCAAGGGCTAAGGAGAATTTTCATCCTTTACTATATGTGCAGGGTACATGATCACTGAGGATAAGAAAGCTGAGGTTCTCAATGCCTTCATTCTGTCACTTACACTTATTACTTAATCCAAGTCTATCTTCACTCACTCATTTTTTTTCCACTCTTCAAGGCAGGAAATTATAATTATTATTACATATTTCTCTCCATCATCCTCATACCCAATTTATTTTATTTTTCTTATTTTTTATGTTTCTCTTGCATAAAACTGGGTAATGTAACTCTCCTAGCAACACTACCTGATTTGGGGAATTTGGGAAATTTAGACCATTTTAAATATTTTATCTGATAAAAGTTTTTGTTTTTTTTTTTCTCTTCTATTTTATCTTTTCCTTCTTTTTTTTTTTCTGTGGCAGTTGATAGCTTGAGACTCTTTATTTCTCTTAACCTTGCCCAAAATCTTCAGTATTCAGTGTTGCTTTCCTTATACAGCCATATCTAGTTAGAGTTGTACTACATTTTTGGTATAGACTGCTAGTTTCTTTCAAGTTTCTCTTTTATGTAGATAAAAAATGTACCATATACAATGTGACAACATTCTTGTCACAAAAGATCTTGCTTCTGTAATATCTATAAAACTATGTGGGCTTTTTTTTTTTTTTTTTTCCCCATGGAAATACAGAATCATAGAATAGCTTGAGTTGGAAGGGACCTTAAGGTTTCATCAATTCCAAACCCCTGCTGTGGGCAGGGTTAAATAATTCTTATTTTCTTTGTAACTGCACTCCTAGCAGCAGTTAATATATTTGCTCATAGCTTTGTTCAGAAATCAGGACAGGGCTAAGTTTATCTCCTCCTGTAAAATCTGCACCAAAGTTAGACAAATCTTCTTTCTCATGTGACTTTATTTCACGCAAGATCATTCTGTATACCAAGGACCATCTGATAAATAATCAAGAACCATAGATTGAATTTCTTCTATGCGCATCAATTATTTTTAGAGATCTGTAGTTAAAAGGTAGGTTTTCAGAAAAGTTCCTAAAAACAGAATGTGATCAGCAGGAAAGGTTCGTAAGCAAAATCTTCTCATAATTTCTTCTGTTGTAGAGGCAGCTACAGTTCACTGGCATTTAAAGGAGTTAGATTGGCCAAGGTACATCTCAGAAATGATATTCTTTCCTACTTTATCTCCAAAAACAGAGGCTGTTTTTAATTATATAAAAATGGGTAGATCTAACCAGTTATTCTGCCTCAGTAATAAAGCTGAGAATACATTAAGCACACATAGAAGTAGTTTCTTGAGCCAGAAAATACAGACAACCCCATCAGGAGGATGCAGTGCTGGACCTGTTGCACATAACACCAGTGACATCAGGATTGGAGGCTGTCTAGCCTTTAATGACCATGCGATGATGGAGCTTACACTCCTGAGGGATATATGACAGACAAATAATAAAATCACAATGCTAAATTTTAAGAAAGCTGAATTCCATCTCTTTGGTGGAAGTTAATCATCAAAACCTGCTGGAAAATTGTCCTCATGAACAAGGGAGCAGAGCTGACAGATCTTCAAGGAAACTTTTCTCTGGGCACAAGAGCTATCCATTCCCAGGAGGTCAGGAAAGGCAGGCAAGAAGCAGCCATGCCAAACTGGAGAGCAAGACAAAAATGCACAGGCAATGAAAACAGACAGGTGCCCTGAGAAGGGTATAAGGATGCTGCTAGGCTGTGCAGGAGCAGAGCCAGGAAGACCAAGGCCCAGCTGGAAATGGAATTGGTGAGGGATGCAAAGAAAAACAAAAAAAGGCTTTAACCTCCACATTAACTAGGAAAGGAAAGTCTAAAGAAGGCTTAACCCCTCAGTGAGAAACAGAGGCAGGCTGATGACAACAGACAAGAGGAAGGCTGAAGTACTCAACTTTTTTTTTGCCTCAGTCTCCACAGGCAATTTCTCTTTCAGCATATGGATTGGAAGGTGGCGAGTGAGAAAACAACATCCCTGCTGCTGTAAGTAAAGATCAGGTTTGTAACAAAAACATCCATATGTCTACGGGTACTGATGAGACGCATCTCAGAGTGCCATTTTAAGGGTTGTGACTGAAGAAGATCTATTTTTAAGAGACTATTGATTTATTATTATTATTTTTTTAAGGTTGGTATTTAGCTTGCACTTTCTGCTTTCTCTTCCAGGATATGTAAATAATTTCAGTTACTTTCAATTACAGAGTCAACATAAGTCTGTAGAGGCTTTTACAATTACTTTGGTTCACAATGAGCTAAAAGTCAGCACCGTTTTTTTGACAGTTTAAAATAGATAGGAATGCATATGCTGAGACAATGGAAGTGTTCTCTTATTTAAAGAACATACAGTCAATTTCTGTATGCTAGAGTCCAGGACACTGAACAAGCTTTGAAAAATTGTGATTAGGGGAAAAAATAAGCCATGAAAAACCACATTCTTATATGTTATATGAATCAAAATGAAACCAGATTCAAGAATTATGGAAAAGAGACATACATGGGGCTACATGAGAAACGCAGAAAAACAAAGATACCTACAAAATGCATCAGTTTTTTTTTCTTCATTTGAAAAATTCCAATTTCTTAGCTGTCAGAAATGCACAAATGATATTTTCCTGTAACTGCATTAAAATATGGCATTAGTGGAGCTGTAAAAACTATTTATAGAATATTTTATTTCAGAGTTTTGCATTAAGGAACATATGGAAAGATTTTGTCTTTGAGCAGTCTAACAGCTGGAGAACCTACACGTGTATATTCCCTTGTCACTTTTATAAATGGCCTTTGAAATAATTTATAGCTGGTACACATTTCCAAAGTTCTCACTAAATTGCCTTTGGGTCAAACTGTTACATTAGCTTTCCCCTGATTTATTTATTTATTTATTGTGAGAACATCTTTATATTTAAAACTGAATATCAAGACAAAAACTGCCAGACTTGGATTTAGTGCACAAAGCAATATCCCGTGTTTTCCAGGAAAAGAACTGGAAGATCTACATATATATTTATTTTTAACTCAAAGTATTCATACACATTAAAAAAGGCACATGCAACTTAAACCTACAAGACTTAACAAGCATTTTGTCTTATTCTTTTCATCAGATATTTAAAATAAGGACTGAATAAAATTGTTATTTTTTTCAAAATAAAATGTAGAAAATAAAAAATAGAAATATATACATAGAAAATAGAAAATCAAAATATAATCAAAATCAAAATATAATTACTGATCATGGTGTCAGTAGACAATTTGGCATAGACAGTATTATTCATATTTACAATCCAAAATATTTTGTAACTACTATAACAAATCTGATTTCTTTGACT